AAGGCAGAATTACACCCAACTTCTCATGGAGACTCCGGAAGCCAGAGAGGCTGGATGATGTTCTACAAACCTTAAGAGATCACAAATGCCAGGTCGACTACTATACCCAGCAAAATTATCAACCACAATCAGCAAAGAAAGAAAAGCATCCTACAATAAAACCAAATTTAAGCAGTATTTACCTACAAATCCTTCTCTACAGAAGATACTCGAAAGAAAATTTCAATATGAAGAGGTTAACCACACCCAGGAAAACACTAGGAATAGATAATCCCAGACTAGTACATCAAAAGAGGAGGAAAACCACACCATAACAACAAAATAACAGAAATTAATAAACACTACTCATTAGTAACTTTTAATATTAGTAGTTTCAATTCCTATATACAAATGATAAATGAACTGAAAAAGAAACCATGGAATCGGCCAGGGGTTAGTGGCACACGCCTTTAATCCCAGCACTCGAGAAGCAGAGGCAAGCAGATCTCTGTGAGTTCGAGGCCAGCCTCCAGAGCGAGTACCAGGATAGGCTCCAAAGCTACACAGAGAAACCCAGTCTTGAAAGTCCAAAAAAAAAAATTAATAAACGGGACCTCATGACTCTCAAGACTGCTGTATGGCAACAGACACCATCATTTGGATAGTGACAGCCTACAGGATGGGAAAAGATCTTTACCAATCACACATCTTATAGAGGTCTATTATCTAAAATCTATAAAGAACTAAAACAAACTGGACAGCAAGGAAACAAATAACCCAATTTATAAAACAGTGTATAAATCTAAAACAAAGTTCTCAAAAGAGGAAATACAAATGGCTGAGAAACACTTAAAGAGATGTTTAACATCCCTCCTCATCAGGGAAATGTGATTTAAACTACTTTGAAATTTCATCTTACACCAGTCAGAATGGCCAAGATCAATAAAACAAACGACAGCTCACACTGGTCAGGATGTGGAGTAAGGGGAACACTCACGCATTGCCGGTGGGACTGCCAACTTATACATCCACTATGGCAATCAGGTTAGCTCTTCCTCAGGAAGCTGGCAATCAGTCTACCTCAGATCCAGTTACATCACTCACGGGCATATACCCAAAGGACTCTACAGTCTAATACAGAAACAATTGCTGCTCAATTCATGATAGCCAGAAATTAGAAACAGCCTAGATGCCCATTAACAGATAAAGAAATGTGGTACAATTACACAATGGCATATGATTTAGATGTTTAAAAAATCAAAATTTTACAGGTAAATAGATGGAGCTAGAAAACATCATCCTAAATGAGGTAACCTAGACACAAAAGACAAATGTTGTATGTATTTTCTTATATGTGGGTGTTAGCTGTTAAACCTTTGCTAGGCATGCTACAATCCATGTAACCACAGAGGTTATGTTTAAAGTAACGGTCTAGGGTGGGGAAGAGAAAGCTAAGGGAGGGAATACAGGAAGGAAAATTTACACTAAGGGCCATTTGTGGGGGAAGCTTACTTACTACTATAAAAGCTCCTTAAAATACATACATATATGAACAATGTAGTCACACTTTTCTTTGGGCCTCCAGCTCACAAAAAATGACACAAAGACTTAATATTAATTGTGAAAGTTTGGCCTTAGGCTTTTCCCCAACTGGCTCTTATAACTTAAATTAGCCTGTTTCTATTAATCTATGTTCTGCCACATGGCTCAGTTACCTCTCCTCTATACCATATGTCTGATTTCTTCAGTGTCTGGCTGGTATTTCTGTGCACTCCTCGATTCGTCCTGAATTCCTATCTCTCCCTGGAAGTCCTGCCTATTCTTTCCTGCCTAACTATTGGCCATTCCACTCTTTATTAAACCAATCAGAAGACACCTTATGAGAGACACATCTCTACAGTGTACTAAAAGATTTTCCCACAACAAACAAAATGGAGTCACCAAACAATGGGGAAGACAATGCCCCAACTAGACATTTTTCACCACCAGTGAAATCTCCAATGCCAGGAATGGATTATATATAATTGAGTCATTGGACAAAGGGGTCCCATGGAAACCCCCAAACAACTCGGGCTACTGCAAGACTATTGGATGCTCTCCACAAAATGATGATAAGTCCCTATTGCTGAAGAGAACACCTACATATCTCATTGAACACAGTACCAACTAGATCCTTTACCCCTACTGACTAGTGTTCATGTAGTGGAAGGTATTCTTCATGCTTCCAGAGAAGAAAGGTAACTACCAACCATCTACAAACCCTTTGATCTACAGTGGTGATCTGCCTGAATGATATGCTGGTGCAACAGTGGCACAGAAGCTGTGGGGATAACCAACTGTGGGAACATGGTCAAAGAATGACATATGGTGGACATTGCCTTGGGCTCCAGAAGAAAAGGCAGAGGACTTATTACCTCAAGTATTTTGTTCCTTGTATTGTTCTTGGATGTCAGAACATAGCTATAGAATCCAGTCTGGTGAAAGGATATGCTGAGAGCTGTCCTGGGTGTACCCTGAATCTGGATATGGCCTTGCCTTGCTTTGTGCTTTCCCAGACATAATTAAAATGAAATTATCTAATGTGCTTAGCAGGAAAAACTTCAAGCCAAGGTAACATTCATGTTGTGGTTAGCTATTATGTTTATTTTGAATTTTTTGATTGCTGAAAAGCAAAGGACAGGGTTTCTCTGAGTAGCTCCTGTCCTGGAACTCACTTTGTAGATCAGGCTGGCCTCAAACTCACAGAGATCCATTTGCCTCTGCCTCATAAGTACTGGGACTGAAGGCGTGTGCCACTACCTCCCAGCCATTTATCTATTATTATAACTAAGAAAAACTATAACTATAATTATCTATCTTCAACTCCATCAAAGACCTGAGAAGGAATAATATTACCTGAATAAGGGCAAGCAAGCGACTTCTTAAAGATACAGGAAATGACAGAAACAGCTGGCTTTCTGGACAGTCACCTCAGGTTTTGTTTTTTGGTTTTTTGGTTTTTTTTTTTTTTTGGTGATGTTGGGGCATCCAATTTTGGCTTATAGGCCTAGAATATCTGACATATCATTTTCCATTGTCAGAAGCAAGAAAATCTGAAGGACTCTCCTAACCTTTCTTGGCAAGGTTCAGCAGTCACTTTTTCTTGTGTCCTGTTTGTCTGGATTGGACAGCATACTTACTGTCAGCAGTCCAGGCAAGGGCAGCTCTTTACCCAATAGGCCAGTTTTGCTAAAAGGGAAACAAACTCCATATGGAGTGACTTCAGTGCCCATCATCCTCTCAGGAGTAGATCAGCTGCCAGGAGCAGATGTGTCTCATGTCAAAAGAATTTTAAATTATCAAAACATTTTAAATGTCATATTCTGTAGGTCTTTGAAGTGTTTGAAGATTACCAACCCATCTAAAAATATATCTCTGTATATCTAGCTAAACCTAACATAACATTAAGTTTGACTATTATAAACTGCATAAACATAGTATCATAAACAAGAGTAGAAATATAAATATAGCATAACAAAATTAACCTTAAGTTTATATCAAGAAAGTAAAATATATAACAATGTAAGTATTTTGGGATTAGCAGTTGTTTGGGGGTTAAGGAGATTCAATAATCTACCCTTTTCCCCATCATACATTTCTATGAGGGAGGAGGAAGGGGAGAAGGAGGAGGAGGAAGTGGAGGAGGAGGAGGCGGCGGAGGAGGAGGAGGAGGAGGAGGAAACCTGCACTGGTTGGTCACCATCTATGATTCTGCACAGTACTGAACTGACAAGCCGACTGTTTAAACATTCTCCATCGTGTATTCTTACACAGCTTTACTAGCAAAGTGCTCTGTGGCTCTCTGTGCAGCTTCGGAGCCTTTGCACACCCTGTATCTCCATTCATGTGTCTGTAGAGCCAGGACCGAGCCTGGTACCTCATAGGGGCACTTAAAGATTGAAAGACTGAATGAATGCACGGTTGCTTTGTCTATTGTGTAGAGTGGAAAAAGCAGAGACACCCGGGACCCTCCCTATTCACTATGGCCCACCCCCTGGAGTCAAAGCATCTTTCTGGGAGGGAAGCTGAGCGAGGGTGTGCTCTCGGCCGCCTCTCTGACCTCCCAACGAGCCCGCTTTCCTGGATGCCGAGCGCAGTCCTCCAAACCCGGTCATCTGACTCTTACTGCCAGCTCCCGCCCAGCTCCCCGTCCTCTCACCCGCGCAGCCCCTCAATGGTTCAGCC